CGCATCCGCTTGTACGAACCTGCTCAGGCCCTGAGATCTTCAGGAGAGGCCCTTCTCTCAGTCCCACCTCCACCTCAAGCCCCGTTGGTGGGAACGAGAGAGCAGACCTTCTCGGTGGCTGCCTCTTGACTCTGGAACTCCCTGTCGAGGGAAGTCAGATTGGCCTCTTCCCTGCTGTCCTTCCGGTGGCAGGCTAAAACCTTTTTTATTCAGACAGGCATTTAAAGATGAAGGTGTTTAAGTCAGAGGGTGCTGTGATTTTGGGGCAGTGCAATGAGGCAATGCAATGATGCAATAATAGAATTGTGTCCTGAGATGGTTTTTAAGCAACTGATTTTAAAATGGATATGAATGATCTTAATGTTTCTGTATATTTATGTTTTATGTCCCGGCATTGAATATATATTGGGTGTCGCCTTGAGTCCCCTGCGGGGTGAGAAGGGCAGAATATAAATGTTTGAAACAAACAAACAAATGCATTTATAGTTTCGAATTGGTTTTTTTAATATTAATGATTTTTAATAATGTTTTAATATTTATATATTGTATATTTGAAGTTGCATTGTAATGCTTTTAACTGTGAGCCACTTTGGGTCTCTGTGTGGGGAGAGAAGGTGGGATATAAATCAACAACAACAACAACAACAACAATTTTAATTTCAGATTGTCAGCTTTAAGAAGAAATGTGAAAAGTTTTAAAAGAATATTTTTCTTTTAAAGGAACCAAATAGTATGTATCCCTGTCCCCAGGACTACAATTTACTATTGCTCCCAGGAAAGCCTCCAGTTGAGAAATTTTAACTAGGATTTGTAGAGTGCATCCTTGGTCCTGCAGTATATATGGAAAATATTCATTAATTCAAAGCTAAGATTTTTTTTTAAATAAATAAAGCTGATTTTCTCTGAAGGACAAGGTTTGCTCATTGTTTTCACAGTTGTTGAAAAGTGTAGACTTTAAGGTTTGTGAAGGCAGGATGAAGTCATGTAACAAATTTCCTCGATGCAATATATTTCTTGCATTAGAAGCAAAAAATGTTTGTACTAAAAAAAGAATGAGATTGATTCACAGTTGTTTATGGGTAATATTGCTAGATTTATGGGTGCTGTTCTAAGCTAGGCAGTCTCGTCAAAAATCAATGACATTTTTCAAACCTGGCTCAAAATGGCATCTTCTCCATTTAAAAGCATTTATAACTGACCGGTTTCTTATAAAGGCATTTTGATTTGGATTCTCATCACTAACACTAGCTGCAAATGGTTAGCCTACTTATTATTCTTAGGCCAGGAGTCAATGGCTCAACTATTGCTTCTGTCATGCATTCTGAATTTTTAGGAGGATCAAAGCTGTTAAGAGACGAACCTTCCTGCCCTCCATAATAGAACTGGAATCCCAAATAGTTAGAAAAGTGTTGGGCATTTGAAATCTCTTTGTGGGCAATGCAACCTTTGGGAGTATGTTTCTCACAATAGGGTTTCATTATTCAATTCCTAATCTCACTAAACCTGCATATCAAATGGCAGTGATGAATAGGTTCATTCCAGATATCAAGAGTGATCTTTGGATTGCTTAGAAAAAAATATTTTTAAGGGTTACAATGCTCACTTATTCGGCCACTATGCTTTCCAGATTGTTGGTTCTGGTTGTAGTTCTCAAAAGTTATGTTTCTAAGCTTTGGATCCATGCACAAAAGACAGATGGAAGAAGAAATCTATTGCCAATGCCATTGCAATCACAGATATGGGCTACAGGTGGGTAGGACAGAAGGAAGACAGTTTGTGGTAGGAAGGAATGTTTTCCTGCTTGAACTACAATTTAAAGCTGGATAAGAACTTAACAAGTTGCAGGACACAGGTATGAGAAACACATTATGATTTGGGTGAGACTCATGTTTTGGACCAAGCACGGACAAACATCCGCCCTCCAGATGTTTTGGACTTCAACTCCCAGAAATCCCAGCCAGCTTACTGGCTGTTAGGAATTGTGTGGGTTAAAGTCCAAAAAACCTGGAGGGCTGAGGTTTGTCCATGCCTATTCTAGACCAATTAATTAACCCCAGCTGCCACTGTAAGAGAGGAACTGGGAGTATATACAGTGGATGATTTATCCAAAATTAGGGCATACAACTACTGGGTAAAACTGAATGCCATTGCAAATAACAGACTACCAAAACTGTGCCAGTTAGAGCAGACAAAAAAAAATCAGTATCAGACTTCTTGGTAAGTTCAATGGACAAAACACAGATGTGTGGACTTCCGATTCTATATCCAACTCTCCTAGAAGAACTAGATCCAAACATTGTTGCACAACGAACACTGAATATAGAAGTTCAGAAAGACATTGCTACCCTCAGTAAAGCCAGCTCATTGAAATGGCTAAGTCGTTTTAAACATACTTTTCAAACAGCCCAATATCTAAGAAAGAAATGCCTGAACACTTCAGGAGGGTATTTACCAGAACTAGATATGGACAGCTGGACACAATGGTCAAACATGGAAGGTTTAACCAAGTTCCATTTAATCAATGATTTTGTATCTGTGGAGCATGAGAGGTAGAAGATATCACACATGTACTGTTTAGTTGTAACTTGCATAAGAAAGAGAGAAACCAATAAATCGGACTATACATTATACAAAAGACACACTGGGATCCTTATATTAAAACTATTTTTATTGGCTGGCCAGAATGCAAAAATAACACATGAAATGACCCTTTTTCTATAAAAAGCAACTCAGCTGAGAACTGAATATTTGGATTGGGGTAAACTGTAAGAGTGATGCAGATATTTGATCTGGATTGGGATCTTGATCCTTTGTTAACGGCTCATTTAACTTTTGTTGTACTGTGGGTTGTATGCTCTATGTGTATGTGTAAAATGTGTTTGTCAAGTGTTTTGATATGACTGAGCTAATCAATAAAACATACTACTACCAATTAATTAAGAATGTTACCAACTATTTAGAAGTAATGTCCTCCAGACTGCAGAAAATGGTAATCAGGAGAGGAATCAATCTAACCCAGGGACCTAATTGCACTATGCGCCTCCCCGTAATGTTTTGGGAGCTAGAGGAAGGCTGCAGGGCATCTTGAGTCATGCCATGAGATATATATCCACCCTGCCACTAAAAAGGGAAAAATGTTGGGAACCTTACCTATATCATGGGCATTGCCTGTGGTGTGGAAATTTGTGGCAGCCAATGTGGGATGCTGCAAACTTGGTGAAAGGAGGTGAAAAGGGAAATGGCCAGCTATGTGTTGTGTGAAGACACGCGTTGGTAGCCATAACATTGGATAAAAGAAGCAGAGACCTGCATAAAATTGCTTTTAAAAACCCATCTGATGGGGTCCCAGAGCACATCTATTGAATCAACTTCTGAATGCAGTTATGTCTTATTCAATCTGTTGGTCTTGGGGAGAATTAAATGCTGTAGCCACAAATGGAGAATTTGTGATGAGCACTCAGATTCCTCACTGAGTCAGAGGATGTGGATTAGATCCTCTGGGGAGGGGAGGGTGTTTGCCCCTCTTTTCTCCATTTTCCATATCTTGATGTCTAGGGAAGGGCTGTGCACAATCCTTCAGTCTTTAAAATGTGGTTGAAAAGATGATAATGATACAGGACCCAATTACAAAGTGGCTTCATGATGGCAATGCATTACATCAATTCTCTCAACAGAAAGACATATGTCTCCTCCTTATGTCACCACATTTAAAGTTTTTGCATTCACTTGGGTGTGAGAGGAAGGGGACTGGACAGAAGGAGTGCAAGGCAAGAGGTAAGATTGATAGGAAAATAAAAGTATTGCTTGATAAATTTATATAACCAGGAAGGAAAAATTCAAAGATGCCATGGTCATATGTGCACCTTTGGGACAGTGCAATAAGGCAACAATAGGAATCTACTCTGCTGACCGGTTTGGTATGGCTGATTTCAGATGGTGTTAAACAATTGATTTAAAGTGGAGATGACTGGTTTTATGTATAATTATGTATACATAATTATGTATACTGGGTTTATGTATAATTATAGTTTATTTTATGTTCCAGCATTGAATGTTTGCTATATATATGCTGTGCTCCACCCTGAGTCCCCTTTGGGGTGGGAAGGGCGGAATATAAATGCAATAAATAAATAAATAAATAAATGTCTTTCAGTGGTTCCCAACCTTTTTTAAACCAGGGACCACTTGACCAAAGACCACTTTGACCAGGGACCACTCTCCAATATTAATACAAAAAGGATTACAAATTGGTCAACTTTAGATTTGGTTTGGTTATTTGTAGTGCTGAATCAGAAAACTGTATTGGATTGACCACATCAGCTCTAGTTTCTGATACAGAACATATGCCATCCAGTAGTTGCCATCTGCTCACCCACAGAAAACCATATTTAATAATCTACATCTGATATGGTCTATCCAATGCAACTTTCTCAATCAGCACACCAAATAAATCCAGGAATCGGCCTCAAAATGAAGACACCAAAGTGCCCCCGCTTGCATGGAACAGCTCTGCACATGGGGAGGGAGGAGGAGAAGCAGCAGTCAGGAGGCTTATTGTTGTCCCTTTCATGGATAGTCAGCCTCTCCCCTTCCGACATCCTCATTGCCTTGACATTATAAGAGGGTTTTGCGAGACCAGTCGCTCTCGTTGCAATAGTGTAGTAATGGTGAGACCGCGGACCATATTTTAGTTCTTGGGGACCACTGATGGTCCATGGACCACAGGTTGGGAACCACTGACCAAAAATAATCTGAGGTTATTTCAACGGGGACTATTGGCTTTCAAGGCCAGTTCCAGTTCAAATTTAAAGAGGCTAGTTTAATTACTATTGCTCAATGGATCTGGGATATAGCTCTTGATTGGCTCTTCACCAGTCCAGTACTAATCATTGCACTTTTCAGTTTATGAATGTATATGTGCATGTGTTTTATACCCAATGCTTTTTCTGTTGAAAATAATTGCATTCGTTCAGAGAATGTATCTTGCCAAATCCCCAGAGTCATTTTTTAAAACATTTATTCAACCCGTTAACTGTTGTAAAAAGCCAGGCAATGAAATGAAGACTTCTAGATTCACATTTAAATTTCATTTTTTAAAATATATCTATATAAGTCGGCACAAAAAACCCCATGCTGCAATGATACAAATATATTTTGGCTACTGAAATTACAGTACATTATTATTATTTTTTTGCTATGAACACACTTTGAGGCACTAGACACCTGATCACTTTTGAGTTGGTAAGTGAAGCTGATACAATTGCTCTAAATTAACAAAAGATTTAAAAATTTCTCTACTACTTTGTTAATATTTGGTGAACATCTCTTTCACAAAACATATCAAATAATGTGCTTTGTTGTGAAACACCATTGATTTTAATCTTCCAGAAGGAGCTTTCCTATTACAATCCATCACATACCTGCACACTGGCTGCATGTATTACTATCGCAATATGAAAACATTATTTTATTGAATGTACAACTAAAAAACAAACAAAAAAGACAAGTCATTAATAAATAATTATTCCTTACAATGGCTATTTTATATTACACTAATTCAATTTGGCCACAAACAAATTTCAACAAATAATGGCAGGAATGTCTCATTTACGTCTCCTCTCGTACATTTGTGCTGTGTTCCATTCAGAAGACCCTGTAAGGAGAATAAAAAGGTGACAGTTTAATTGGATATCAGGAACATATGCATCATGGCAGACTACCCTAAAAAAATACGTGGTAGTTCATGCAATCTATTTCGCCTTTAAAGTTATTTTTTAAAGGGGCATTTTAGAGACAATTTGGCATAAACCACCATGCACACTTGATGGCACTGTTAATATACCATAATAATAAAGCATCCATGTTTTATGCTATTTTCTTATCAATCTTAGTTTCTATAAAATAGAAAGTTATTAAAACACATTGAATAATGAAATGACCAAGCCACTTCTTGAAATATTACAATTAGAAACAACCGCAAATTAATGAGTTGTTAAAGGCTTTCATGGCCAGAATCGCTGGGTTGCTGTGAGTTTTCCAGGCTGTGTGGCAATGGTCCAAAAGCATTCTCTCCTGACATTTCACCCACATCTATAACAAACACCCTCAGAGGTTGTGAAGTCTCACAACCTCTGAGGATGCCTGCCATAGATGTGGGCGAAATGTCAGGAAAGAATGCTTCTGGAATCCAGAAAACTCACAGCAACCCAACAACAAATTACTTTTCAAATACTAAGACAAGTAATATTACTTTTTAAAAGCAACTGATGTCAAGTGGTATTTGGAATACTGTGAAAAGTTCTAGGTGTCACATATTAGGAAGGATATTGACAAACTGAAAAGTGTCCAGAAGATGGTGAGGAATACAGAAACAAAGTCCCATGGAGAGTGGTGGAATGATTGGGTGGGTATAACCTAGACAAAGCTAGTTTCAAATATCACACCGACAACATTTTCTTGTTCTCCGTGGCTGCCAAGGGGAGGACTCAAATTATTACTATGGTATATTACCTCAAACTATGACCATATTCATTGGTCCAAAATTATAATTTCCCTAAACCCTGTTTCCACAAGCCTGTAATTTATTGCCTGCTCAACTCCTATTGTATAAATGTCTTGGATGATAGAGGCAAACACTGTAACTCATTATTGCCTTTATGGTTCTGAAATGTTCTAAGTAGTCTTGCTTCTTAAGCAGAATCAAAGAAATTGCCATCTCTTTAAGAACAGCCCACTCATGCTTAGTTGTTAAACTATGAGTGGGGGATTTCTGCCTTCCAGATTTATCTCCTGTGACTTTCACCAGTCCCTTTCCAATGTAGTAAGAGATAGTGGAAGTTATAGCCTAAAACATTTAGAACAGTTATTCCAAAACTATGGTGCTCCATGTATTTTGGACTTTAATTCCCAAACCCTCTTCCCAGGTTGCCCAAAGGTCATGAATTCTGGGAGAAGTTTGGGAGCCACTGATTTAAAGGATATCAGAATGCTCAACCCTGAACTCATCAAAAGATTGTGCCAAAATAGTCGAATGACTAACATCTAAATGTTGCTTATTTTTATGTTTTAATATGGTTTAAATAGCTTAATTCATAGTTTATGTTATTGTTTATTTTTTGTTTTTGTTTTTCACATGGAAATTTGGCATTAAATTTTGCCGTGACTATGTTGGAAACCTCTTTGAGTCCCCCCACGGATGAGAAAAGCGATATATAAACACAGTAAATAAATAAATAAATAAATAACCCACAAAATATATTTTGTACAATCACAGGGAAAAGATTAGGGTTTCTGAAAGTGTAACATCACATACTGATAAATGCCTGACGTATTCCTAGGTAAGTCTACATGATTTCTCCTCCTTTGGGATCATTTCTTTGATTTTTGATGATGACACATCTCAACACATCACAATCCCCGGTCTAAACAGGGGATTACTGCAGTCCACCAAAAGATGTTTGATACAACTATCTTGATTTTCTGCATTGCAGCCATGAACATTTGCTTTGTCTGTCTCCCCCAGTGTGAAACATGTTATGTCTTGTGTTTTGCGCCTCTGTCATTTATTCAGGATCTCAAGCTGTGTTAATAAATCCCAACTCTGCCTTTTCGGTGTGCAATTCCTCACTGTATTCACTTCTCTGTAAATGAGTCCCACAGTTACTGTACCCAGGGATGTTCGAAGAGCAGTTAATCCCTGTGTGGGTCCTTTTAGGCTTATTAACTCCTGTCAAAATTCACTGATACTTTTTTTTTTACATTTTACAAAACAGAAGCATTAACAAGAATCCGTTTCCTCTTTCAGAGCCCTAGTTTCCACTATCTCTCACCTGGTGATATGAATAGTTAGAATATAATTGACAGTATTACAGTTAACAGTGCTAGGCCAAAATGTTTTCCACTGTTGGTGCTGGTGGCTTGTGGTGATCATGAGCTCGTTCCAGATTCTATTTCAAATTATCTGAGACACTGAACCTATTTAGGGGATAGGGTTCAGTACTTTGGATCAGAGTATCACCTAGAGCAGGTCAATCACCCACCAACAGCTGCTGTTTTTGCAAAGGAAAACATAGTGTTTCTGTTCTATATACAGAGGTTGATTGGGATGGCAATGGGACAACAGGTTCAGTTAGGGGCAGAGCATGGAAAAGCCACTATTTTGAATTATGACTCATAGGATCTCTTCCACCCAACGTTAGTAGAATGTCATACAGTATAACTATAACCCCATACTGACAGGATTTGCGTCCATGGTTTCACTTACCAGCATCCGACAAAATATAAGATGTATTATACTCCTATTTAAATCACGTGCTCTAAATGTGCATCTGCACATATACATTAGCACAGGCATGTTTTTGTAACTCTCAACCAGATTGTGTCTTCTTTCCCAGCTGTGCACTAGTGTCCAACCTAATTCTACAATAACCTCTTTGGTCCATGATCCTGTATACACCTGAATAAGAGTAAACCCCACCGCACAAGATAAGACTTCCTTCTGAGTAAACATACAATCATTGGTCTACTAGCTTTCTCAATGTGTCCTGTGTAGTTTCCACCAGATTTTTCTGCCGTGTACTTTGTCACCAGATGCTCCATCTATCACAGCAGATCCATGCATGGTCCATCTTGAAATATGGAATACTTTCGCTCCTCAATTGCAAAAAGGGAGCCCAAGGGAAACACGATGGGTAACTTCTTTAATGCTTAGCCTATAAGCCAGAAATGGTTAACTGCTATTTAGTATTTGAGGCACTCACTGTACCTGCTCTGAGGTCAGCAGACTATCATCAGGTTGTTCAACTACAGTGCTTGGTTGCTTCCTTGGATTTTAGTCTGAACTAAACTATGCAACAGGTTGAATCCTCAGTCCAAAATAGGCCTAGCACCTTGGATATCTTCATTATGTTTGGACTGACACTTGGAATGGGCTTTTTTCATATCAGGAATGACTTGAGAAACTGCAAGTCGCTTCTGGTGTGAGAGAACTGGCCATCTGAAAGGATGTTGCCCAGGGGACACCCAGATTTATCGATGTTTTACCATCCTTGTGGGAGGCTTCTCTCATGTCCCTTTATGGGGAGCTGGAGCTGATAGAGGGAGCTCATCCATGCTCGGATTCGAACCTCCGACCGGATTTGAAAATCTTCAGTCCTGCCGGCACAACCCATTGTGCTACCGGGGGCTTAGTACCCCAGTGACAGGGAAGGCACTAGTGAATACTCCCAGTATGGCAGGGTTAAGCAATTCTGGAAGACTGGGATCCACATTAATCTCACTCCCAGGAGGAGGTACCCCTTACTACACTCACAAAATTGTGTGGCGTGCTCCCAGGATCCCCCAAGATAGCATGGCCACTGATCCTGGGAGATATTGAGCTGAAGTCAGCAAAATAAGGTTTCCATGCTTTGATGTCAACACTACTTCAGCTTCAATGTTTGATTGCATCCAAGTGTGCAAAACACCGAAAATGAGTCAATTTTCCATCCTGGATTGATTTTAACACAAAGTTGCAGTTTTAAGTTTCCTGCACTTTAAATTTTGTAGAATATATTTCTAGCAACCATAGAAACAATTTGATTTTGATTTCAATACTCAGATCCACCTCAGTTTCGTGTTTTTGTTTTTTTTTCAAATCTGTGAATTTCATCCTATGAGACAGAAGGAGATTGAAACTAGATCTTAACATTTCAGGCTTGAATATGTTCAGTATCTAAAAAGAGGGTGTATCTCTATTATTCATGCTCACTTTAAGAAAAAAAAAAGCTAGAATTATTCTAACAAGTGCAACAATTTTGAAATAAGAATCAGATTGTAAAACCCCAGTTATTTGCAATTCTTGTAGTGTCATATAGAAGTTCCCAACAGAAGCTGAGTCTCAATTCAAGCTTGAATTTCTCAATTGGCATTTATGAGTCCACCAGCATTTAATGGTTATTTCTCTCAGAGATAAATCTTTGCTCAATTGCTCATAATTCATAGCAATTTGTAAAACTAAATAGGATAGACATAATATTGGTGCTATGAGCACAGCAGGGTGGAAAATAATGTAACTGAACATTAAAATTTCAGCAAATAGTTTACAAGGCATGCTTAAACAATTGCAACTGCCACTGTATGATTTGGCACCCCAATCCACTTAAGGAAATAGAAAAGAACATTCCTTTAAGAAATCTTTCAAGAGTCTTTCAAAACACATTCAAATCTCACATATATTTTTCTATTAGCTAAATGCAGATCTTATGGATGGACTGGCAGTTGCCAGTTAGTTACTATATTAAATTTAATATTTTTTTAAAGTGATGACTGAGACATATCACAGAACCAAACACGAAGCTGATGGACTGTTAGTAGTGACACCAATTAATATACATGCTAATTCGTTTCTTAGATTTTGATATCATATTTAGATTCTGGCTTTCCTCAAATATGCTCATTGCTGCATACAGAGTTCACTTTCTCTCTGCTTTATCCTCATAACAAACTGTACTCTCATACTGAAGGCTGAGAAAATAACCAAACCAAGATTTTCCTTGGAGAGGTTCATGGTTCAGTGGGGATTTGAACTTGGATCTTTCATGTTCCGGACCAACGTTTGCACCATTTATGGCAGGCATGGGCAAACTTCGGTCCTTCAGTTGTTTTGGACTTCAACTCCTACAATTCTTAACAGCCTACCAACTGTTAGGCATTGTGGAAGTTGAAGTCCAAAACATCTGGAGGGCCGAAGTTTGCCCAAGTCTGGATTAGACTGGGAGAACAGAGTCCAAATCCCTGCTTGACTATGGAAACCCACTTGGTGACCATGAATAAGTCACACACTCTCAGCCTTACAGGGAGATAATGGTAAAGCCACATTAACAAACCTTTCCATGAAAACCCTCTGATAGGTTTACCTTGGAGTCACCATAGGTTGGAAATGACTTGAACAGATACACACACAAACACATACACCAGATAGCAACAGCAGAACAGCAGCTTGATGGGAAAGTAAGTTTAAGAACAGAGATATAGGTTGGTAGTGAATGTAGAGTAAGGACCAGCCAAGAAAGAAAATGATTGCATTTGTTGAGGAAAGGAAGTGGAATAAAGGAACCATGTAGTAAAGAAACCGCAGTGAGATGAGGAATCTACCATCAAACTGGGTGTTCCAAGATCCTGACAATACTTAAAGTGTGTGTATCGGGAGGAGCAGAATGTGGTCTGACATGAACTACTGGATTACAGCTCCCATCATCCCTGACAGAACCAACGCTTACTGGGGTGGATGGGAATTATATTTTATTTATTTCATTAGTTATTCTTTTATGTCAAATTCTAATGAGAAATCTGAAGTACTGTATATACTCGTGTATAAGTCAACTTCCATATAAGTTGAGGGCTGTTTTAGGGGCCAAAATTATGGATTTTGATATAGCCCGGGGATAAGTCAAGGGTCATTCCATGGAGAGAGTGAAGTGCCCATGCTGTAGGGGATGGTTTATTTTCTAATAAGAGTTAATACCATCCCTTAACTGTTTAAAACTCATATGGGGCAATATAGAAGTTCAAATAGTCAACAACCTTGCATAAAAGTACATATTCTTCCTCCTCCACCCCTTTCCAATAGGGTTGGAGAACATGTGTATTAACCACCCTAAGTTCCCTTGGGGAGACAGGGTAGGATATACATAAAATTTTTAAAATTACTTTATTATTATTATTATTATTATTATTGTATATTATTATTAGTATATTATTTTATTTTACTGACACAAAAACACAGTATGTCACAGCAAATGAGATATATATGCTGGATTTCATATCACATCCCAGGCATCTAGGACTGAGTGATGATGATTATGATTATGATTATTATTCCAAATACTCACATCACTCTGCTAGTTGCCATACTGGAAATTGGGGCTTCCACAAGCTTCCCTTCCTATATATGGTAAGCTAGATGGCCTCAAAATTGTGTGTGTGTATATGTGTGTGTATATATAAAAATAGGAGATAGACGGTAGTGTGCTTTTAGGTTTTGATGTAGTTTATACATACCAGAATTTAAAGATCTTTTGCCCATGAGTCCAACAAATGAATCTGTTTTATGTCCTGAAAAATATATTGTGGGTGTTTAAATACATTTGAAATATGGCTTTTAAAAGTGGCAATGTGCTTTCAAAATGAATACACACTATAAACGGATCCTAAAGATATCTGAATATTAAAGGTAACACCTAGGTCTTAGAACAGGCTGAGTATCCCTTATCTGAAACACTTGGGATAGAAAATGTTTTGGATTTCTGAATACCTATATTTACATATATAAACATATTAGGAATATACAAATGTATACAAATATATTGGAAATCAGATCAAGGTCTGAGCACAAAATTAATTTTAATTTTATATATACCGTATACACGTAGCCTGCAGGTCATTTTTTTTACAATATTTTAGATAATTTTGAACATAAAACACAAACGTTTGTGTATATTAAGCCATCAGAAACCAAACAAGTTTGTCTCTGGCCTCCATGTGGACAATTTTGGATTTTGGAATATTTCAGAATTCCAGAAGAGGGGTGCTCAATCTGTACAAGTAAGGATGAAAGTGCCCTTATGCTTCTCGAACAGCTCTCATCTGTGCTCTGGTCACATTATTGCCAATCCTCAAAGGTTTTAAGTTGCTCTGCTGTGTTTCAGTGGTAATAGGGACAGTTGGTGGGTTTGTAAATGAGCTCTGGATTTCAGCTTAAGTCTGGCCTTTAAAGGAGCTGCCCAAGGTGCTGAACCTGTTTTGTGAACAGGGTTCAGAGCCTTGGGTAGCTTCTTGAAAGTTCAAACTAAATCTTGGCATGGATTCATCATTCCACTGACATGGAAGCCATCATTTCTCAGGGAATGAAACTGTATCTACTTGGGAGCGTTCTGATCAAGTCTTCCTTCCTTCTCTTCCTCCCATCTTTGTTTTTCTTGAGTTTTAACTTCTATAATGCTTCTTTAATACCAATTGCCAGTAGCCCCTACACAGTAATCCTTGTAAGCACAGCTGCTCAGATGCACACACATTGATCTCCTTTGCTCAGTAGGTTCCCCCATTCACTCCCAATGGAAATATTTATACCCAATATTCTGCAATCCCCCTTTTCCCATTATTCCTAACCATCAACCATAAATGTATGTATTACACACGTCAATGTTTATATCCCACTTTAGAAATGTGGTCCAGAATTCACTAAGTCAATCACAAAGGCAGGATTTAAAAATAATGCATCTATGGCTTCATTAGTTTAAAAACAAGTAGGGACCATGAAAGCCCCCCAATTAAACTGGGCTGTGGTGCAGTTTGGGGATGGAAATGTCAGTTGCTTTACAGAAACAGAGCCCTGACACTCATAGCTTTTGCTACCTGGCAAGCGAAAAAGTGGGGACCAGTCTGGGAAACACTAGAGCAGGCATGGCCAAACTTCAGCCCTTCAGGTGTTTTGGACTTCAACTCCCACACTTCCTAACAGCTGGTAGGCTGTTAAGAATTGTGGGAGTTTTAGTCCAAAACACCTGGAGGGCCAAAGTTTGCCCATGCCTGCACTAGAGTCATATGAGTAAGATGGTTACACATTTGTAACTGCCTCAGAGAATTCCAGCTGAGTATCTCAGGGAAGGATATAATCAATAACACCATTTAAAATGGTTTAAACACATAAATACCAAGTATTCTATTCTATTCTATTCGTAAGTAGTTAATTTTCTCCCACCACAGAATTGGCCCAAGATATTTTGCTGCTTAAGGCAAAATACAAGATGGCAGAGTAGAAATGGGCTTGCTTAATGCCTGGTTCCCTTTCTTCGTCCCAAGTCTCTTGCCATCTATCTTCATTTTCCGTCTCTGCCTTTTTCTACTAGGCTGATACATATGCTGCCTGGGCTTTGTTGCTGTAAGTCCAAGAGGACAGATTATAGTAACTGTAGGATTTGCTGTGCACCATGCTGTCTTTCCGCATGTAATGTGGTCTCTTTTAAGTTTGACATGGCTTGGTTACTAACATGGGGTAATAAATTACAGTGCTGCTGACCAGAGCAAAATGCTGCTTTCCATGACAGTTGCTACTGTCATTATGATATGCAGCCACACAGAGCTAGCTTACAATCAGTGGCCAGTGAACGTTCACAGTGAGCTTATGGAGCTGTATTATTCTGAAATGCTTATGGCAGAAGAAGGTGCAATCTTTCAGTAGAAAGGAAGGGCAGAGTTTGGAGCAAGGGAAGGGTACTGACTGTTGAGACGGACTCTTGCCCCCAAAGCTGGTTGTCTGAACAGGGCACAAATTAATTGGTAGCTTCAGTTATTTATATCATTTCATAAATGAACTTCATGTTTTAAATATAGGTTGCGTATCCCTTCTTTAAAATGCTCGGGACCCAATGTGAATTAGGAGTTTTTGCATTTACTTAATGAGATATCTTGGAGATGAGATCCAAGTCAAAACATGACATTTATTTATGTTTCACATATACTTTCTACATCTAGCTTGAGGATAAATTTTATACACTTTTAGTAGCTTTGTGCACAAAACAAACCTTGTGTATGTTAAACTATCAGAAAACAAAGGGGTTACTATCTCAGTTGCCCATGAGGACAGCTTTGGAGCATTTCGGATTTCTGGATATGGAAAACCTACATGTTCAAATAAGTTTTAAATAATATGGTTTTGTGATTGATCCTAGCTTTATGCCACTTTAGTTTTAGGGCTATGCAGTACTTCTGAAGGAAATTTTATTGATAGTGGTAAGCATCAATAGATAGTACTGTGATTACTTGCACAATATGATCATGATCCAATGAGCCATAAGGGCACATTTGTATCCATCTCAGCACTGAGGAACCCTTCAGATGTTTAGGCTTACCACTCTCATGAGTCTCACTCAGCATAGCAAAGGTCAAGGATTTTGGAATTTGGCGTTCCAAACATCTACAAGGTCAAAGGATGCTCACTACTACTTTAATGGTCTACAACCGGTAGTGACAAACTATGCAATTCTGCACATGTTTACTCTGAAGAAAGCTCCACTGAGATGGCAAAATATATTCTATGAGGGTGCATAGAATTATTTCCTAAATCACACTGAAACAAATTCATGTTATTGTTATTTGTTGTTGTTGTTGATATTCTCCCAATTTTGTCTCAATTGAGACACAAGGCAGCTGTGAAAGCAATGCTAATTTATCATTGCTTTCACCAAGTCTATAAATGCAATTCTATACTTTTCCTGTGTGTGTGCTTAAAATATTTTATACCTCTTTTGCAAGTTGGGAGCAAACTCTTCTCTACTGCATAGAATTAAAAAACTATAATGTAAAAATAAACTTCACAGAAACATTGACATCAAAATATATTTCCAACTCATTTAAAAAAAAAATCAGTGACAGCTAAAACAATAAACTGTAAATATGGGATGTCACTCAGCACCAAATAAAAGCAGACAGGAGCATTCAGATACACTGTGTAAAATAGTTAGAGGGAAGCATCTTGTATACCTCTGGCAAAAGTGTTTCATAAACATGGGGCCACAACAGAAAAAGCCCTGCCTCTTGATGGGAGAAACAAACCATTAGTCATAGTGGAAAAGTAGACCAATGCCATGCATATTCATTTGACAATAATTCTCAGTATATTTGGTGGCTATTATAGTAGCTTTAAGATACTACGTACTAGGGCTATGATGTGCATGGATCATTTTATAGTGTTGGAGGATTTTCCAAGGGTAGAACTTGTTCATTCAGAGTACATCAGAATTTCCATATGGTCATCAAATTGGGGTCATTATATTTAAAATTAACATATAGTAGCTATCTTACATCTAAGTCACACTGAAAGTGATTAATTTTAGGAAAATTGGGGGAGAAATCAGCTTATATCCAATAAAACCAGTTTAACTTACTTTTATGGGAGAGAGAGCCATATCCTAGAAAATGATAAAAAGAAATAATTAGTTGAACGACTACTAAAATACATTTAGTGACTATACAGTAATGTTAGATGACAATAAATGCCAGCCACAGATGCAGGTGAAACGTCATGAGAGAATGTTGCAGGAACATGGCCATAAAGCCCCAAAAACTCACAGCAACCCACTATTTTAGAATAAATCATTCCCATAAACATTTTGCAATATAGGTACAATACACCCGGCATGACTTACAGGAGCTCTTTAAATCCTTATCTCTTTGTGCAGGTCATTTCTTTTCTTTTTTTAACTATATGGAGTAATGATATGTTTTAATGGTTTATATGGTTTTTATAATATTATAATATTAAGTTGAATGTTTTTAACTGTATTTTATGAATGTATGGCATCGAATTCTGCCAATTTCTGTAAGGTGCCTTGAGTTGCCATAAGGCTGAGAAAGGCAGGTTACAAATGCCGTAAATAAATAAATCAATAAACAAACAAATAAATAAATCTACAAAGGTGATTCCTGACACTAGCTATATCACATTGTGTAGGGATTTGAGCATTCGAGCTCTGGAGATATGAGTTCGAATCCTTGCTCAACCAAGAAACCCATTGGGTGACCTTGAACAAGTCACTCTCTCCCAGCCTTAAAGGAAGGCACTGTTGGCTTCCTTCCACAGTGGCTAAACAGGAACATACTCTGGTTTAATAATACCAGTGTATGTCAATCACAGGATAGTGGAAATTATTTTTTGCAGAAATCTGTAAGAGAGCTTAAAAATGGTTCTCACCAGCATCTCGTTTGCCCATTAAGCCATAGAACTGCTGAGGTCTGGGGCGTCTGGCAATCCTTTGCAGAAAGTGTTCAAAGGGTAACGGCAACTCCTCCTGAAACAGAAATATCACATGATTACTTGAATGCTCAATTCGCTCTCCTAATATTGAGTTATTGAGTTAACAAAAAAGAGAATGCTGGAACCAGAAGCAAGCCTAGAAGAGCTGTTTTTAGATTGCAGAATCCCCCAGAACTGGCATGGGCAAACTTTGGAGTCCAAAATACCTCCAGGTATTTTGGACTCCAACTCCCAGAATTATTAACAGCCGGTAGGCTGTTAGGAATTGTGGGAGTTGAAGTCCAAAACATCTGGAAGGCCTAAGTTTGCCCATGACTGCCCTAGAAGGTACAGCCAGTGGTCATTATGACTAGGAGATTCTGAAAACATTTCTAATCTAACCTTTCAGACCTGATACAGGCAGCATGGTGGAATTTGGGCACTGGACTACAGGTACATCTACACTGTGGAATTATTGCAGTTTGACATCACTTCATCCGCTATGGCTCAATACTATGGAATCTTGGGAGTTGTAATTTGATGCAGCACCAGCAGTCTTGGGCAGAGAAGGCTAAAGACCTTGTAGACTACAACTACAATGATTCCATAGCACTGAACCATGACAGTTAAATGATGTCAGTAATTCTACAGTATAGACATACCCTATGACTTTGTATCATTCCTTTGCCATGGAATCCCATTGGAGGGGCCTAGGGTAAGTCACACTGTCTCAGCCTCATAAAATGGCAAAGGCAGACCGGCTCTGAACCACTCTTGCCAGGAAAACTCCATGGTAGGTTTGCCTTTGGATTGTCTTCAGTCAGAAATGACTTAAAGGCACACAACAAACCAGGCATTTTATGTTTCTCTGTTTTCTTGGCTATTTATTCCTATAATCTCTAGAAACCGATAACACCTCTTCACATTACAAAAGGGAAATAATTTCTCCACCAAATACAAATTCAGAAGTAAACTCACTCCTGCAATTGAAAGCTTATTTACTCTAGCATAAGCAGGCGATGAGAGAACAGTCAAATACAGAATCAGAAAATAACCAATATACTGTAAGTAGCCCCTTTTGTCACTTCTCACCAGAAATCTGCAATTGACTTTTTGGATATTGTAAAACAGGTGAGCCGGATTAATAATTTGAGTCATTGCAATGGAAGAGGTGTTGTGTTGCTTTGTGGCGCAATGGGTTAAACCCTTGTGCTGGCTGAACTGCTGACCTGAAGGTTGGCAGTTTAAATCTGCAGGATGGGGTGAGCTCCCAACTGTCAACCCCAGCTTCCCATGCGGGGACATGAGATAAGCCTCCCACAGGATGATAACACATGTGGGTATCCCCTGGGCAACATCCTTGCAAACACTCAATTCTCTCACACCAGAAGCTACTTGCAGTATATTCTCAATTTGGTTCGGACATAATTTAAAACAACAACAACAACAACACTCTGATTGCCATGACTCAATGCTATGGAATCCTAGGATTTATAGTTTAGTGAGGCACCAGCACTCTTTGGAAGATGAGGATGAAGACCTTGTAAAGCTACAACTCTCATGATTCCATAGTGTATAGTGCCATGGCAGTGAAAGTAATGCTAAACTGCATTAATTCTACAGTGTAGATGCACCTATTGACACAAAAGGGCTCTGTCCTCACCTCGCCAAATGGTAATGAAAGAAAAAAAAGCATTCAGAAAAAAACATCATTTTACCATTATAGATCCTACTAAACAGCCCTACTAAAATTATTAGTAAATATAGCCATAGACTATTACATTGGTAGATTTATTATATAAAGAAGTCCAAATGGTTTCCAATCTTTCAAAAAGTATTTTATTGGTTTAGCCTGTATGAGCCTGGCAATTTGATTTAACTCACTGTTCCAGTCATCTATTAATGCTGGAATGATAAACATATATTATGTGAAAAACAAAGAAGCAATGTCTGCCCACACTGGAAAAGAAATCCAAAATCCACAGTCAGGCAATACTTTGATAAGGCTAAACTAAAACATCCCCAAGGAATGCCATTTTGCTTTCAGGTTTTCCAGAATCCTTCATCACGCCGGGCATTTTCCAATGCAGGAAATGATCTTAGGTTGTAGCATTGGACGAGAAATCTCTTGGCTAGAGTAAATCCATCAAAGCTATCTATAGGTTTGACTTGTTATTCTACAGTTGAGTCAATGTGTTACCAATAGGAGTCCAGCAATATTTAGACTAAAGGACCAGCATAGTTTGAGTGATGAACTAGAGCTTGAATCTCCACTCAACCATGGAAAGCCATCTTGGGCAGGTCATACTCTCTCAGCTTTAGGGGAAGGCATAGGCAAACATCCAGTGAACAAATCTTGCAAAATCTTATAACTGACTATGAGGAAAGAAAGCTTGCACATCCAAACAGAGTAAGTCTGGTGCGTGGATGGTGAAATACTCCACACTCAGAAAGCCTTGGATTGGTTAGATCTATGAAATGAGGGCGAGGAACCCCTGTATGCATCTATTTAGCACCTTATACTGGTGGGGATGGTGGTATTGATCTTGTCATTTGGGAGTTGTAGTTGCTGGGATTGATAGTTCACCTACAATCAAAGAGCATTCTGAACTCTACCAATGATGGAATTGAACCAAACTTGGTACACAGAACTCCCATGATCAACAGAAAATACTGGAAGGGTTTGTTGGGCATTGACCTTGAGTATTGGAGTTGTAGTTCACCTACATCCAGAGAGTACTGTGGACCAAAACAATGGTTGATCTGGACCAAACTTGGCACAAATACTCAATATGCCCAGAAGTGAACTCTGGTGGATTTAGGGGAAAATAGACCTTGACATGCTGGGATTTATAGTTTACCTACAACCAAAGAGTTCTCTGAACCCCACCAAAAATAGAATTGAGCCAAACTTTTCACTTAATGCTTACATTGCTGTCATTATTAATTTGAAGGGCCATCTAGTCCAACCTTCTGCCATGCAGGAAGATCCCGACACCAAATCATTTATATCCAACTTGCTTTCCCTTCAAAACCTGGGACTCAAGGCAGCATGTCAAACTTAAAACAAGTACAGTAAACCACACAAAGACATAAATAAAGGCATACAAAAATTTGCTAAAATGCAACTAACTCAAAGCCATTTAAACAAATCCACAAAAGACGGCAAACAATCAAGTCAGTAAAACTATGCAGTATTAAAAGCCCACCCATTTACGTCCTAAAACCCTATTATACTATGTTTATAGCCTGCATTTATTTACTCAGAGAAAACTCTACAAACATTTTTGATTGGAGAAACTCTAATATCATTTACCGATGCCTAAAAGTACATGAGTGAGTGGCTAAAGCTTTTCTGTTATCTGTAGATATTGGGATGCCGTGGAGGGCACTTGCCTGGAAAATACGGGGATATTTGAAAATTCTCAATTTTTTATAAGAAGTTGAAGAGTTTCTATGTTTTGCTTTAAGACATGAAGTGGCCAAATTGATTTCTCTTTTCAACTGGGCTTTCTCTTGATTAGTACATGTCTTTTCCAATGCTCAGAATCTATGCTCTGTTGCAAGATTACTTCGTTTCAGCAAATGGCTCACTCCAGGCTTGCCTACAAGACGGGTACCTGTTCATATCATTAATTACAACATATATTTGATCTTTTTCTCTATCACTCAGAAAAAAAGGCCTTATGGTCTACAGATCAAAATGTGTCAAGTTTTCAAATTATTATGCAAGTTGAACATTCCTTATCTGAAATTCTGAAACGCAAAATGTTACAATAGGGGCCACCGTTAGCACAGCGGATTAAACCACCATCTATAGAAAATCTTGCCAACCAGAAGGTTGGCAGTTCATTGCTGTGGGTTGGGGTGAGAACCTGCCATCACCTAGTTCTGCTTACGTAGCAGTTCAAAAGCAGCAAAGTGAGTAGATAAATAGGTTTTGCTTTGGTGGGGATGTAAAGGGCGCCCCTGAAGACCTGCCGGCATTTTGATCAGGAAGGCCTCCATGGACAACAGGCTCCTGAGCATGGAAAAATGGAACAACAGCACCTCCCCATGGCTGTGTCGAGCATGGCCTCCAGATGCCGGAGATGAAAAAAAAGAGGGAGGCCTTGCCTCTGTTTACGTCTGTCTTTGTTGTTAATGTCTTTGTTGTTAATTGTATAACGGCATTGAATGTTTGCCATATATGTACTCTGTAATCCACTCTGAGTCCCCTCGGGGAGATAGAGTGGAATATAAATAAAGCATATTATTATTATATTACAAAATTCAAAGCTGTTCATATGTGTAGTTGAGATAGAGACACCTTTGCTTGGACAAAATTAATTTTTTCATGGTCAAAATTATTCAAGATATTGTGTATACAGTTACTTTAAAGATGTGTGTGTGTGTATGTATATATATATATAAAGGTTACATGAAATATAAAAGAATCCATGTTTCAGCTTGGGTACCATTTCAAAGGTATTTCACTATGTATATGGAAATACTCCAGAATGCTAAACAATATCCAAAATGCAGACCACTTCCGGCCCAAAGAATTTTAGATAAGGAATGTTCAACTGGTTCATCATTCTTCAGCACCTTGAGATCTCCCTCTCTCTGAATGTTATGTATGCAGTCATCACTTTGGTGAGTTTTATATATACCTCATCCTTGACCACCTTTGAGGGATTTTTGAGATTTACAAGTCTACATTTTCCAACATTCCAGCCCAGCACCGCTATTGACCATGTGGAGTGGGTTTACTGGAAGTTGTTTCTCATCATGGAGGATACCTAACAGGTTGGTTAAGATTGGTGGAGATTAGGCCAACAAGTTATGGAACGGTACTCTCATTGCCTAGAAAGAAGCAGATCATATTACTTAGTATTTTGTAAAATCAGCTTAATTAAGACATGAAACTGAGTGGTGAAAAACACTCATGTCATATCAAAGTTCTCCCTTCCAGATGACATTCAGTTGCTATGACATTCCGTTCCTTTCTGGTTCTTAATTTGTATCCAGATGGGAGAAAAAATAGATGACATGAAGGAGATTCATGGAGATATC